TATAAAAGAGTGTTGTACTACATCATTGTGTAATTGGTGTTTAGCTTCTAATATTAACTTGGTGCTTTTAGGTACATATGTCATTGGTAAAGATCCGCGCTTCGACCCTTTCTACGTATGAGGAAATGAGATATCGATGAACCAGCATCAAGTGAGGAAGCTGATAAATATTGTTAGTAAAATGGGTCAAAAGATGGCAATTAAACTATTTGTTTACACTTTATCCAATACAATAGCAAACTGTAGGATTGTAAGTAAGAACTTTGCAGCCTTCTTTTTACTGCCCATATAATGAGTTGTGTTAGATGACAATGTCTATATCTTTTTTTCCTTTGCAGTGGTTCCCAAAGCAGTTTACTCAAGATTACCTCTCAAACTACATGATTGGTGGGAATGCAAAGGTTAAAGTATTTCTACCAGAATACGATGACTATCTAGATGTTTTCATGAAGACCGTGAAGGATGGGCGATCGGCCATCACAATGGGTTGGACTAGAGTCGTGCGTGCCTTCTGCATGGAGGAGGGCACAATATGGGCATTCTTCTTCATCTTGTTCAGCAACCAAAATGTATTTCGCCTCTTTCTTTACCGTCTTTAATAGTACAAGTATACAACTGTGGTTCATCATTCTTTATTTGGTTCTTATGTAATTCTTGATATGTACCTATGAATCAAATAATGCATTGGTTGTCTGAACCTGATGGATATGAATAAAGCTATAGCATACATTCAAATTCAACTTCAAATCCGGTACAATTTGATATAGCACCAATTAAATTATGGTGAAATTACGCTCTCCAGGTCGGTATGGCACACGCGCGTGCTAAAACACAATCGTTTGCGATATACACCATAATCCGAGACGGTTCACAGAGAGGAAACGTGTGCAAGCGTGCACACACTTGCCGTTTGCAAAGTGTGTGCGATGTCAGACAATATCACAGATGGTGCGGGCTAACTAAACGTCTGTGATAGTTGCCTTATCATACACGATTCGCAACCATGAACTGTTTGTGATGAAGTATGCATCGTAAATGTTGCACCACAGAATAGCGTATGCGATAGTTGTCGTGTACGACGATGTTACGACGGTCCGACGTTTCGTAATCCTATCCGACACTCGTACGACGATTAGCTAATCTTCTTAATTAGTTATCGCATATGGTTTGGGAAAAGAAAATGTGTGTGATTGTATACTTATCATACACGTTCTATAATAGTGAACCATTTGTGATGGGCCGCGCATCGTAAACGTAGCACCACAGAATACCGACTGTGATGGCAATGCGAGCACAAACAAGTAGGAGTACTGTATATGCATCTTGGCTCCCTATCCCCGGTGGTTTCTAGGTCGTGTGGGAAGGACCCCCCTATCGCCCACACTCACTTGGCGACAGTTCCAAATGTCGTCGCGGAAAGGGGTTAAAAACCGTTTGTATAGCACCGATGCGTACCAGTGCTAGATCAGTTGGAGCGCGAAGAAAGTTCGACTACATCAACCGCGTTGTGAAACGCTTCTACTTACGGTTTACGGGGGTATGTAGACACACTCTCCCCACTCGTTGCTATGCATCTCCATGGATAGATCTTGCGTGTGCGTAGAATTTTTTTTGTTTTCCACGCAACGTTTCCCAACAGAAATCGGGAGGCAGCTATCAAAGAAGCCAAGTCAAACCTACAAGCTCCCCAATGCATGAAATATTTTTAATTTTAACACCAATTATAACTCTTAGCAGTCAGCACCACACACACTCACACAATGTCTACACCCTAGACGCCTCCCTATTGACGGGAACAATACCTCTCACTAAAAGAATATTTTGGATCAATAAGACACCAAAGCGTCAAATTTGAGATTTGATCAATGGTGTCTCGGCTGCCACCTCTCTGTTGACCACCGAACCACTGGTTGGTTTTCTGTGACGGGAGAAATATTTCATTTTGGGGGGGAAATTTTAAATCTGTTCATCTTCAATAATGACAGTACAACAAATACCAAAAATAATAATAATTGCACCCAGATTTGTAGACCACCTAGAGAAGACTACAAGCACTAAAGTGAGCCAAAGGCGCACCACAGTCAACACCCCTTCCTTGTCGGAGCCGGGCAAAACTTATTGTAGTAGACGGCGGGAAGTCGTCGTTCTAAGGCCCTATAGGACCAGTGCACCAAAACCGCAATCACTGTCGATGAAGAGAATCGTAGATAGGAATGATCCAACCTGGAAACACACGAACATGAACGAACGAAGATCGAATCCAAGCAGATCCACCAAAGTCAACCACCAACCGAATCCCACAAAATCCGCCGGAGACACACCTCCACACACCCTCTGAGGATGCTAGACGCACCATTGGGATGAGGCCTAGGCAAGGAGAACCTTATTCCATCTTCACTCAACCGCCATGGTCTCACCTTTCTGAACAGGACACGAACCCTACCAAAACTAAAAAACTAAATATGGAGCCCTCCCACTGAAAGGTTCAAGATCCATCGTGCCCCCATGGTCCCAAGGCCACGGGAGATGGGGCAGATCGGCGATACCGTCGACGGGAGACTGAAACCCTAGCTACCTTTTCCCTTGGGAGGAGAGAAGAAATCGAAGTAGCACAGACATGAAATCGACGGAATCTAAGCGTTCCACCTAAAAATATCAATATCATGCATACTAGCAAGAAGATACTTCCTCCATCTCTAAGTAAGTGTCTCAACTTTATGTCAACTTTAGTACAAGTTGGACTAAAGTTGAGACATTTATTTTGAAACAGAAGGAGTACTACTTAAGCAAAAAAATCAGTGTCGGAAGAATAATACTTTTGATAGTGTTATTTGACCAATGTCAGCTGGGAGGAGGATGGCAAGCAAACGCGTTTTCCTGATAGTTTTAGTTGCTTTGCAAGATCAAACAGTGAGAGTTTTAGAAAAAATGTATTTTTATGAAAAAAATTGTTATGTTGTTCTGAAGAAGTTCTCATCCCCTCACAACTAAAGCTGCCAGTGAAATCGTCCAAAATGCCACCCCTTCCCAATAAACTTTCATCAGCTAAAATGGTCCAAAACTTTTTGTATGTGATAATGTGGCTTTCCATGAATCCCATCTTTTAAGGGCATCTCCAACACTGACCCTCAAACCGCCTGCATAGGTCTAGACCATGCGGTCCAGACGTGTTGTGCCATCCAAAGCGGGCCTGAATCGATTCGCTCAGCGGTCTGAACGCACATTCTCAAATTAGAAGCAAAGATGGGGGGCTTTGGGGAGTTCGGATAGCAGCCACGTTGGACTCTGACAACCCCGGCCCACTAAATCCCCACTCCCGGTCCCATTTTTTTCAATCCTCCCATTCCCCCCCTTGATTTGCATCCGTACCCTCCTCCTCTAACGCCACCGATGTACCTCTCTGGCTGGCACACAGGCATTGACGGACCTCCACAACCAGCACTGACACGCCCGCTCGCCTTTTACGACGGCGTCGTCCACCCAGGACCCGTCCGTAGACAGGTACTCCCCGTCCCCCTTGTCGTCGTCATCCATGGCGGACACCATGTCCGGTAGGTGTTCGGTCAAATGTCATTGACCTTATTTTCAAACGCCAAGTCAATGTTTTAGAGTACGAAGGATGGTGGGGTACTCCACCATGGAGGATGAGTTTTTGTGCGATGTGTGGTTGGCCATATCCGTGGATTTCATAGGCAGGAGCAGAGAGGAACTCTTCTAGCAACGCGCGCATGATTGTTTCACGTGTGAAGCACATTGCCCCCTACGACATGCACATCATCCATGATCGCAATGTGATGTCGTTATCATATCGATGGTACGCCATCCAGACCACAACACAAAGTTTGTGGCACGGTTGATATGTTGGAGGCAAGATGGCCATTGCGTGCGGCGGCCGAGGAGATCGTAAGTTTTGCTTCTTCTTGCTCAACTTGTTGATTTATTCATTCAATGTTGCTCTACACAATGTGCAGCCCGCACACGCTGTCGTGATGTACAACAGGATACAGGGACGGTCATTTATGCACATATACTGTTGGATGGAAATCAGAAGGCACTATGTGTGAGACGACATGATCGTTCATGAAAAACTTGTTGAACATCCGATTAATCTCATCGAATTTTGAACTATTGTTGTACTAGACTTATTTGCATGCTATGTGTGGATGATTTGTGCTATTTTCTATCCAAACTTTGATGAAATCCGCTATGTTTGCATGAACATCGTCCGGTTAGTTGAACCCGGCTTGAAATATATGCATGCAGCGTTCGATGGCCGGCTCCCTCATATGTATCCGTGTACTGATCTCCGTGTACGCGGACGGATGCCGGAGCAAATTTGGGTCAGCATTGAAGATGCCCTAAAAATGAAATTAAAGAAGGAAAGAATATAGATGCATGGATTATAGGTGGTCAAACGGGTCGTGCTAAATGGGCTGGCCCGGTAGCACGGAGGAACGGCACGGCCTAGGCGTGGCATGGCCCGGGCTAAACGGACCAGGCCCGGCACGCCATATGGGCCATGCCTGGGCCTGGAGGCTGGGCATGCGGGTCGGCACGACACGGCCCGTTTTTTTAGAATTTATATATGTGTGTGTTCAAAAATACAGTCCAATATACCTAAAAAACAGCCCAACAAATTGAAAATATGCAACCCAACTGTGCTAAGCGTGCCACGGGTCGGCCCGTTTATTAGCTGGGCCATGCCTGGGCTGGAGGACACACCACGTGGGCCGGGCTGGACCGGCCCGGCTAATAATCGTGCCATGGCGGGCCGTGCCGTGCTAGGCCCGATTAGGGTGGGCCAGGCCGTTCCGGCCGGCACGTTTGGCCAGGTCTGGCATGGACTGTCAAAAAAAGAAAGCGGGTTTTGCGAATACGCTTCTGCCGTCGATGCGTCTGTGGCTGACCCTCCTCGCCGCTCGACCCGGCACGAGGCACAGCTCACAGTCACAGGGGATGAGGAGATGAGCGAGAGGTGCTAGGAGGAGCGACACCACCACATGGCTCCTCCTCAGTGCGCCGTCTCGTCGCCGCCCGCCCCCACCAATGCCGCCAATGCCGCCGCCGCCGCCGCCGGCGGCGGAGGCAAGGGCAGGACGCAACTGGCGGTGGCGCAGGTGAAGAAGCTCTGCAAGCAGGGGCGGCTCGAGCAGGCGCGGCGGCTGCTGCTGGACGCGCTGCCGCGCCCGCCCCCGACGCTGCTCTGCAACGTGCTCCTCATCGCCTACGTCGCCGCCGCGCTCCCGGACCACGCGCTCCGCCTCTACGCGCTCCTCAACCACGCCGCGCGCCCCGCGCCCCGCTCCGACCACTACACCTACTCCTGCGCGCTCACCGCCTGCGCCCGCTCCCGCCGCCTGCGCCTCGGGAGGTCCGTCCACGCGCACCTCCTCCGCCGCGCCCGCTCGCTCCCGGACACCGCCGTCCTCCGCAACTCGCTGCTCAACCTCTACGCCTCCTGCGCGAGGTACTGCCACGGCGGCGTCGACGTCGTCCGCAGGCTGTTCGACGCAATGCCGAAGAAGAACGTCGTTTCGTGGAACACCCTGTTTGGCTGGTACGTCAAGACCGGGCGCCCCGATGAAGCCCTGGAGATGTTCGTGCGCATGCTGGAGGACGGTGTCAGGCCTACGCCGGTCAGCTTCGTGAATGTCTTCCCGGCTGCGGGGAGCGGCGATCCCAGCTGGCCATTCTTGCTCTATGGTTTGCTGATAAAGCATGGGGTGGAGTATGTCAATGATCTCTTCGTTGTCAGCTCAGCAATCGGCATGTTCTCTGAGATTGGCGATGTGCGGACAGCTCGGATGGTGTTTGACCGTGCTGCCAAGAAGAACATTGAGGTTTGGAACACGATGATCACTGGGTACGTGCAGAATGGGCAGTTTTCTGAAGCCATGGATCTCTTTATCCAGATACTGGGGTCAAAAGAGGTTCCATCAGATGTTGTGACTTTCTTGTCAGCCATCACAGCGGCCTCGCAGTCACAAGATGTCAGGCTGGGTCAGCAACTGCATGGCTACTTGATGAAAGGAATGCACAGCACACTGCCTGTGATACTGGGTAATGCGCTTGTCGTGATGTACTCGAGATGCGGCGATGTCCAAACTGCATTTGAACTGTTTGATCGATTGCCAGAGAAGGACATTGTTTCCTGGAACACCATGATCACTGCTTTTGTCCAAAATGATTTTGACTTGGAGGGCCTGTTGCTCGTTTATGAGATGCAGAAATCAGGTTTCTTTCCTGATACCGTGACATTGACTGCAGTGCTGTCTGCAGCATCAAATACAGGAGACCTTCAGATTGGTAAACAGTCGCATGGGTATCTCATCAGGCATGGCATTGAGGGCGAAGGCTTGGAGAGCTATCTGATAGACATGTACTCCAAGTCTGGCCGCATAGACATGGCTCAGAGAGTATTTGATGGCTATGGGAATAACAGAGATGAAGTCACTTGGAATGCCATGATAGCAGGATACACACAGGGTGGCCAGCCTGAACAGGCAGTCTTAGCATTCCGGGCGATGATTGAGGCAGGTGTAGAGCCTACTTCAGTGACACTTGCTTCAGTACTTCCTGCGTGTGACCCCGTTGGAGGGGGTGTATGTGCAGGGAAGCAGATACATAGTTTTGCGCTGCGCCATTCTCTGGATACCAATGTCTTTGTAGGTACAACTCTTGTTGACATGTACTCCAAGTGTGGGGAGATTTCTGCTGCAGAGAATGTCTTTGGTGGCATGACTGAGAAGACCACTGTCACCTATACGACAATGATCTCCGGTCTTGGCCAGCACGGTTACGGCGAAAGAGCACTATCCCTCTTCTACTCGATGCGAGACAAGGGCTTAAAGCCTGACGCCGTGACCTTCCTGGCTGCCATTTCAGCATGTAATTACTCTGGATTCGTCGACGAAGGTCTTTCTTTGTACAGGTCAATGGAAACATTTGGGCTTTTAGCTACCCCTCAGCACCACTGCTGTATCGTGGACTTGTTGGCTAAAGCCGGGAGGGTGGACGAAGCATACGACTTTGTAGAAAGCCTGGGTGAGGATGGGAACTTCATCGCCATCTGGGGATCGCTTCTGGCATCCTGCAAAGTGCAAGGCAAGATGGAGTTGGCAGCATGGGCGACTGAGAAGGTGCTCAACATTGAGAAGCAGTATGGTCATGCAGGCTACAATGTTTTGCTGTCGCAGCTATTTGCTGCTGAAGGTAACTGGAGTAGCGCTGATAGTCTGAGAAAGGAGATGAGATTGAGGGGGGTGAGGAAAGAGGTGGGTTCTAGTTGGATCAAAGTCCAGACTGCAGCATTGCAGGACAGATCTGTGGAGAGGAACCAAAAGCAAAATTTCCCCGAAAATGAGCACGTGTTCTCGATGCTGGATGGGGATACTTGCAGTACAGGCGCAATCATTTAACAGTTTAAGTACTTATGGCACGGATAGATTGCAGATTTGTTGATATCTGGAGATTAGAAGGTGGTGATTAGCTCATACTGTCAAGGATCAGAGCTCCTGTTACCTGCACTTATGTCATGATTTGCCTTCTCCCAGAATACAGCTCCTTTGGAGTCTTTCACTGGATGAAACATGAAAAGATCCCCAGCCTGCGGGGATGCCGCGATGGTCAAAAGGTGAACAAGTGCATCGAGACAACATCTATGCTTCCATCGCAATGAAGCAAGTTGCGATCAATATCCGCATCCATCGGAACGAAACAAGATGTTGAGATCGAGACCATATGATCTACTGGATGAAGAACCAGCTGCAGCGTAGACAGTGTTACTTCTAAGACCTGACATGTGAGTACGCCATTGTTAATGAAGTGTACATCAATTTTTTGTTCATACTTGTTGCTACTGAGACGCTGTAAACATTCGGAAAACATTCATGTAAAATGTTAACTAAAGAAAATTATCACAAGGTTATACTTATACAGCCAACTTAATGATGTAAATGTTTCTTCAGCATTCTAGATATGAAAGTAATATCTTAAATTAAGATCACATGATTACCCAGCTTGCACTCCATTATTTGTTCTCTGTACTAAATATTTGGAATCACTCAGATCAAGGTAAGCAAATTACTACAAGCCTCAAACGTACAGCCTGAAGCATCCCCATGATATAGCTGCAGAGAACAGTAGCTCTAATCCGTCAACAAAACCAGCAAAAAAACTGAAACGTCAGAGATACACCAAAGCACTCAAGTTCAAATGAAACATTGAGCAAAAGAACCCAGCAGTGAAAGAATCATTTTGAACTAAAACCATGACAAGAATTATGGAACAGAGGGAGTAGCATTTAGTTCCAGAATAACATTGACATGATATCATTGAATTCCACAACGATATCAACAATATGAGAATAAATGGTGATCACTGTAGTTGTACAAATACAACAAAAATATCTCAACTGGATAAATCAGGCCTCCGGGTGGCAAATTACATGACTCATTTGAGAATTTCAGACTCAAACTTAGTTCGCTACAAGATACAAAACTTGCTGGAATGGTGACACTATCTATTGGTTTGCTCAAATATGCTTCAGCTGACTTTCCTTAGTTGGAGTGGTTCAGTCCTATGAAACATCACCCACCAGATCACCAGCCTGTGATTGGTGATAATGAATTCGCCAATGGTGTAGCAGGTAATGTTCAAGATCTTATCCTTAATCCAATGTTGATATCTTACTTGCTCTGTGAATCACAAAATTGCCCATATTCACATTCACAAAGACCCATCCTCACCTGAAATTTTAATTCAGAAAGGGATGAGTAAACCAGCCACATCAAATACCTTTTAGTGTGGTATATAATGATGACAATTGACAGCAGACCTTTCGTAAAGTGAAGGAAACCCTTCGCGAATTTCTTTTAATGACTTGACCAGCCACGTCATCAACCTACAAGGATCACATTACAACTATTATACAATGTTGCATCATTTGGTATTAAATACGGAGTAGAACAGAAGAATTGTCAAAAATGTATGGTTAAAAGTTGATATTTATCCAACATATACAGGCTTCCTGTGAAGAAAAAATACTCCCTCCGTTCGTTTTTATAAGGCGTTTCAGACAGCTGGGTTTGAGCTGTTTAGTACACTGTCCGAATTTGCTAAAACGTCTTATATAAGTGAACAGAGGGAGTAGTTAATTTATGCAACTTGCAGTTGAAGTACCATGTGTGAAATACTGTTTAAAGCAGGAGTAAGACGAGTTAATTAGTTGGCACTTACATTTGTATGGCAACGATATGTTTAGAGGAACAAAATATTAACTTAAACATCAAATACCTTATGGTGTGGTATATAGTGATGCCAAGCATATCGGCCTTCTCCAGACATGAGTAACATTGACCTAGGAGGTAGAAATACAGCTTTCCGCGTGCATTGTGGATCTTGGATACTACCTTCATCAGCTCCACTGACCACACTTGGAGCACGCCAACTGCCTTTCGGGTATTGTCTGAACTCCATAATGCAAGGTCCAGCCAAAGAAAGACTAAAAATCATTTCTTCGAATGCTGAGTGTGTGTCTATGTGTGGAGACAAACCTACACCACAAGGATATTCATTTACCTGTAAGCACAATCAGGTTAGTTCTACCACTGGTTGTCAAGAGCTAATACTGTTAGCGATAGATAAATAAGAAAAGAAATCCGTAATTAGGCCGTACCAAATCAACAAACAGGAAATTTAAGCTACAGCTGTAATATACAATGGAAACCAAAACAGTGGTAGAAATGTGGAAACTTACCGTCAATTGATCCACCAGTTTGCCAGTACAATTCTTGACACCAGGGAATGTCACAATTTTGTCGAGGACTTTTGAAACAAAAGATGGCAACTCACCCAAGAACTGCTTCGAATCAACATTCCTGGTCTGTAAAGTCAACAAAACCTCGTTACAATGTAACTTTGAGCAGCCTTTTTTGAGTGAGTGCCTTTTTCATTTTGTACTGAAGAAAGAATTATATCCTCTGGAAAGTATATGAACTTATATTGTACAAAAAGAACTGACAGTGCGAACTTATTTTAGTACTACTAAACGTAACCAATCTGACTGATTGCAGAAGGGCAAATAGAGTTGCGGAGAGAAGAACAATCTGGATGGTCATATACTTACAAGGTCGAACTTACTTCATACAGAAACTCATAACCGTAATGCTGAACTCGCCTTTTCGCCAACCTTTTCCACGGCCTACTGTCCACAGCAGCAAGTAGCTCCTGCAGAAGATGCAAAATTACAGACGCTACTCAACCCAAATTTATTAGCAGCAAGCAAGCCGCCAATGGAAGACAACCTAGCTGCGACTCCAGTCCACCGACCTGTTCCTCGGCGGCGGTGACGAACTCCTGGACCAAGTGAATGCCCGGGATGCCGAGCTCCGACGAGGAGAGGGCCACCGGGGGAGCGGAGACGGCGACGGCGGCCTTGGGCGGGGCGGGCACCGAGTAGCGTATGTGCAGCACGCGCCCGGAGAGGCGGCCGCAGGGGCGCCCGTGGAGCGCGGCCATCGCGGCCCCCGCGGCGGCGGGCTCGCGGAACCGGACGATGACGCGCGCGCCGCTGTCGTCGGCGGCGCTGACCCCCTCGACCTCCCCGAAGGCGCCGAAGGCCGCGGCGACGTCGTCGTGGGTCAGCCCCACCGCCGGCCCGCAGTTGGCCACGTACAGGACGGCGCTGGGAGCGGGAAGCGCGGCTGTGTCCTCGGCGACGGGCGGCGGGCGCGTGTACCCAGACTTCGCCATCTGCGGCGTCGCGCCGCGGCAGCCGGAGATCGAGTTGGGGGTGGAGGGAGGGGGAAGCGAGCACGCGGGCAGCAGTGGCGACGCGGCGGCAGTCGTGACTCGTGTCGCAGCTTTTCCTTTTCCCCGCGCGACGGCCCAGTTTCGGCCGTTTTGCTCAGGGTGTTACATAAACCGGAATTTCATACAGAACCTAAGTTCGCAAAAGCATCACGAGAAATGGCTCGATCTCGTAGAGCACAGGGATAGTTCCCACATTCCAAACACAACCGCGGAACTTCGACAAGATGTCTCAGAAGGGGAATTTCGGTCTATTTGGCGCCCTTGAATTTCACTGGAAAGTTTTCAGTTTCTGTAGGTATCAAGGAAAAACTCCCAAGGTTTGCGGACCCCAAGCGTATGCGAGCACCAAGGCAATGGCATTGCAACAGTGAGAGCAATGAACAGTTAAAAACAATGTAGAATCTGGGATAGTTGTAACTCTAAGGCAGCGCTGAGTCTGGATTCCTAAGGCTCGAAAGGCTTCACCAAGTGAACACAACCAGATAATGCTGTAACGATCGATTCTATTATATATCATAGAGTTCAAGACTGTCTTCACAATCAGGGACCTAATGGAGCAACGCAAATGCAGCAACATTGCAGGAAAGAAAAAGAAAACCAATAGCCAGAACCATTGCAACTCCGGTTTCGCCAGTACAAATAATTTATCCCGGCAATGAATGGCATTCCTCCGAGTCCACACTAAAATATGCTCCCATAATCTTTTCTGGGAAGGGACGAGGGTAGCCCGCCCGTCGTAAACGGATGCACGCCTGTTCCTCCTGCGCAAATTAGGAGAACTTGGTTAAGAATACCAAAAGAAAGGTGCTTCTCTACTCTGCTAAAAGAGCAAGTAAATTACCCCAGGGCACTCCCTCGCCCATGCCATAGGGAGGCCATGCAGGCTGCCCACTTTGGTGACTCCCCATCGGTGACCGCATGTGACTGTTAGTTGGCTGGTTGTATCTCGGTTGTAGAAATTGATGTCCATGGCGACCCCGGAGACTTTGCTGAGGATAATTCGGAGGGTTGAAACCACCGTAACTGATTGGAACAGTAGGACGGGTGCCCCTCCCATGCGAGCCTGAGTGCAGTTGTTGACCTGCTCCATAGCTAAGAAGCGAAAGAAAAGTAATTAGTTGCCATAACTTGGAAAGGAGCAGATCATATGACGTGGATTGTTATGTCTTGATTCTTGAACTGAAAGACCGATCTTGTGAAGCAAAAAAAAGGGACATCTCAAGATATTCTGTCAGGTGGGTTCTTGTTTTGACGAAAACTCATTAACAAATTTAGAACACAATACCTTTGGCTTGTCAGTAAAGGGTTTGAGCTTGCAAAGTTGTGGCTTTGGGCACGGGTTGATCTCGCAGATCCGCCTGGCTGACAAGTTGCATCCCTAAGATGAAGGTTGCTGCTTAAATCAGCTGACAATGAATTGTCTTCTTGCAATAGTGACTCATCACTGCAAAATAGGACAGTGTAACCATTTACATTCAGACGAACTTTACAGGAAGCAATTTGAGCACACAATTCCTTACCTATAATTAGGATCCCAATCAGAAGGATCAAGTGTTGATGGAGCTGATGTATCCGGTAATACGTCAAATGAGGGCAAAGGTGGAGCATTATGTGAATTATATGCTTGGGAAGGCCCATGACTAGAAGAAGCCTCCACGGAAAAACCACTCCTGGAAGCTATTTGCGGTCTCCAACTAGAATGACCAGAACTAGGTAATGAGTGCTGAGAGTAGCCAGCATGTCCACGAATATAGGCATCCGAATGACTAAAACTGACACCATCTCCATGTCGTCCTTGTCCATGCTGAGATGCATATTCATGTGGTGGCATCGGCATGTTCTTCCTCTTGCTGTATTGGCCTAGTGGTGCAGCTTTTCCCAATGGGGAGCCATGAATGCCTCCACTAGCAGGAGAACCAGAGCCATGCTTCCCAGTAGAATTAGGCGGGGTATGCATCTGGTAGTTTGGTGGGGTAAATTGTGATGGACTGGCACCAAGAGACATAGGCCCCATACCTCCAGGGCTCAATCGAATGCCTCTATCGTAAGAGAGACGAGGTCTCAGCCTAATATCTGGACTAGAGCTAACATGTGAAAATCCAGAAGGACCTAATGGGGAGTAATACATGTTACCATTATTAACATCACCATAGCTTCCATAGCTGCTAGCAAGACCAGCATTGCCAGCATAGCTACCATGGCTACCAAGGCTTCCATAACTACTCCCATAAGAAAAAGGCACTTTTGGAGGATAGGGGTTAGGAGGTAGACATCTGTTCGCACTTCCAACCTAAAAAAAATTAAAACACAGGACATTTCAGTTCTAATGGACAAGAAAGATACTATAGGATTATAATTCTGCAAATTTAACTCAGGAGCAACATAAGAGAGTAGTTATCACCTGAGGGGAAAGACCTGCAACTAACCAGTGACCTCCTCCTGGATTGTGATCAACTGCTGCAGCATGAGCAACAGGCTACAACACAAATCAATAACAGGATAGGCTTGAGAAAGAAAGAAAGATTGAATGAATGTGTTTACAAGCTAAAACTAAACTGTGTTTTAGTTAAGGTAGAAAGCTATCTTATACTCCCTCCGTTCCAAAATAGATGACCCAACTTTATATTTTGGAACGGAGGGAGTATCTACTAAGATCAATGATGCAACCTGTAGAACAACACTAGTGTACACAGGGAGCATTTTGCATATTGATAGGTTTGTCGATTAGTGTATGTCTGTATGAGAGAGACAGGAAATTAAGTTAACTATCTGCAGACCATTGGTCATTACCCTCAACGAGGCAATATGCCAATCTCTACCTAATAATAAAGCACGTAGGGTTTCTGCCCATCCGTCGCGCCAATTTGCAAAAAAGCCCCTACATTCTCATGAAATCAACCCGCAGTCCGGATTTAAGTCACACCGAACCGTTATTTTACAGTTTTTCGAAAAAAAACCTGACTTTTTAGGTATTCCATCCGCGGATCATATTTAAGTCAAACAAATGCTTTTCTAAACCATCCATATCTTTTAAACCGTAACTCCGATTTAAACATGTTATATATGAAATTTGATTAGAAAAATATGTAGAATATGAATATAAGATTATTTTAACCTGTTAAGTATTTATAAATATTATTTTGGAAGATATTTAATTCAAACAAATGGTTTTCTAATTATACGTATCTTTTAAACTGTAACTCCGATTTTAATATGTTATATATGAAATTTGATTAGAAAAATGTGCGAAATCTGAATATGATGTTAATTTTACGTGTTAAACATTTTTAAATATTGTTTTGGAAGCAAACTTATAACTATAGCGCACAATCCATTGTTCTTTCATACAGGCGGCGATCCGGATTGAAAATAAACACCCACTATAATCATATAGGGAAAAGAAAATATCGAGAACTACACATGCATACCTCTGAATACGTCGCAGGGGAAAACAACAGATTTCTCATCGCGAGTGTGAGAGAAAGCGAGAGAGAGAGGGAGAGGGAGGAGAGAGGGAGAGAGAGACGTCTTAGGATTAACCACATTCTAACACGTTTTGGTTTGTGTGAACACTAAGGCCACCGCCGGCGAGGGTGAGAAGAAGGATAAGCGGCAACACAAATATGATGCGTCGCTAAAATAAAGGAGATGGGCCTATTGTGGTCTTGAGTGATGGTTGTTCTGTTAAGAGTGTGTGTTGTGTTTTTTGTCCCGTTGCAACGCACGGGCTCTTTTGCTAGTAAAAATCAAGAGGCGATGATAAGTTTATTTGTCACAGCCTAATATTATTTTTATGAAAATATACTTGTTATTCCTCCTAAGATAGATAATTTCAAACCCCAAAGCAGAAGCACATCATCTAGCTTAATTTCAATTTCCTTCTTTGATAAATACGAAGTTAAGACACTCGAAGTAAAACCATACTCACAATTCTTGGAGTCTCAGAGACAGGCTCATATGGACCAGTAAAAGGTTCGCCTGTAATGAATGGATGGCCTGACGCCTGAAATAAGATTGTACAAATTATGTCCTTGCACATGGGTCTGAATTATGTAAGATTACCAACTTGTACGTAAGAATAAATTGTGTTTTCATGAGTAAAAAATACATATACTGTTATAGAAAGAAATGATGATTCATCAACTTAACCTGACATAATAGACTCTAATGAGATTCAAAATATTGAAGTCCCAACCTTTACATAAAGGCCAAGGCAATACAATTGCACAACTAGCATGGGAATACCTGAAATGGCGACCATCGCTTATTTGGATCAAATTCAAGAAGTCCCCTCAAGAAATCAACTAACAGCACGCGGTCTGCTTTTTCTGTCTCTGAATCAAAATGCAACACCTGAGAACATAATATCAAACTTGCAAGTTGTACTCTAAGAGCTCTATTCTGCAGATTCAAGATAGTTGTACTCTAATACCAAGCCCAAATTGAAGCAAATATTCCTACAATGCCTATACTCCGTAGTCCATACTAATGACCACTAACCCTGAGCTAAGTTGTATCTAGTTTATCGTTCGTGTTACTGATCGAAAGCAGCACAGCAACGCCTAAAAGGATAACCTTTATAGGGGCGAAATGCATTGCTTTCAAAAGACGAAATTACAACTCAAGAGGGACACCAGCATGTATGGCAAATTAAAAGAACTATACTGACAGGGAGCAGATTGAAAGGGCTCCCTCTAGTTCCCCAAAACATGTCATTTCAGATACTAGCAGTCTAAAAACACAACTTTGACTACCAAGTTTTATCATAATATTCAAAAAGCCTGACAAAACTACAATTTACTGAAGCACATTTGATAAATAAGTTACACATGTGATTTCCCAAAATCCGATCAACATATTTATAAAGATAACAGTAGTAAACTCTCAAAAGTTTGACTGCAGCTATGTCGAAAGTGACATGTTGCGAACAGGAGGAAGTATCAACGAGTACATATGGTACTGATCTGAAGCCTATTCTAAACAACAGCTAAGAAGCCAAAATCTTATTCACAGAACTAAGGAGACGACAAAAAGACAAACCTGGCAACTTTGTATTGTCCCAAGGATAGGTATATATTAGTTGGTCCAACCTTTGCTGTGGGAAGTACCACTTCCCTAATTTCGGCCTTTTGGTCTCCCTCTGGTATAGATAGTAAGGCAGCGCATTAAGATAGTCTATAATACGACAGAAATCAATGTTATGTTGTGGAACCACAAGAAACTTACCCCCTCAACCTCGTCTTCACTTAACATTCTGTATGCAGTGCCAGGGCCATCATGTGCCCCAATACCCAGATAGCTACTTCCAACATGTTTAAAAAATTTAGCCGTATTCTTAGCTTCCCTTAGCAAGTCATCTGGTGGTTGCCCCCTATAAATGTTTTATTCAAAGGAACAAAAAAAAAAAACAAGCATTATAACATGGTAAAGCTCGCCTGTGTAAATTTCTTAACTGACCAGAAGAACTAAAAAGGGCAAGATTAACAACATTAAACTCAGCAGAGGCGTCTGCTTTAGCATGCTGACATACATAATACTCCCTCCGTTCCTAAATATTTGTCTTTCTAGAGATTTCAACAAGTGGCTACATACGGAGACAAATGAGTGAATCTACACTCTAAAATATGTCTATATACATCCGTATGTGGTAGTCCATTTGAAATCTCTAAAAAGACAAATATTTAGGAACGGAGGGAGTAGTATGTAGATACAGAACTAGAAGAGAAAATTATAGGTACAGGACCTACCCGAGAATCTTTAGCATACGCTTAAGCACATCATATTCTGATGCACCAGGAAATAAGGGTAGTCCTATAAACAGTTCGGCAACTATGCAACCGAATGACCACATATCAATCGCAGTAGTATATCTGTCACTGTTAAGGCTCACGTAATTTGAAAAGGCAAAAAGAACTTCATCAAAGAAATCATTGCTCTTTTTAATAAATCCTTCATCAAAGAAATGATTTCTCTTTTTAATAAATATAAAAGAGCATTCCAGAAAATGTTGAGCAAGATCCTTATGGTGAATGATATGCAACAACTTGCCCTGTATATAGGATACGGATAGCCAAGGAGAACTTCTGGAGACCTGTAATAGCGGCTCTAGCAAAAAGGAAGGGTCGAAGTCTTACTTTCAAATAACAAACATTACTTGAGTAAAAAAATAATTATTATTATGTTACAGAAGTTTAAAGAAACCTGGATGTATGAGTACACAGTTTTACCCTCCAGGCATGCTGATCCAAAATCGATAACTTTCACTGCTGCAGCTGTTTTTGCACTGTAAATTCATTGTACAACCTCAAGCAATAGTTAGCCAGAGAAAATACCATCCAAAACATAATAGTGCAAAATTCAATACTGATAGGGGCTACTCACGTCGGAGCTAAGAGGATATTTTCTGGTTTCAGATCGCAGTGAATGATGCCACCATCTCTCATCACTATCATGGCATCTAATATCTGAAAACATAAAACAAGATCAAGCAACAGGTACTAAGTTACTAGTTAATGGGAAATGCAGACTAAGACCATACCTGTTTTGAGAAGGCCTGTACAAATTGCACTTTCAATCCTCTTAAATGATTCCTTTTTAAAAGCTCATACCTATAATCTCGAAGTTCATAGTGCAGTCTGAACAAAACTAAAAAGGAATGAACCTACTACCAAAAAGGTCCTACAGAAGTAAACTTACAGATTTTGACCGAGCATTTCAAAGGCAATACACAGGTGATTTTGGAATGAGAGATAATCTAGCATTCGGACAATGTTGTGCTTATCATCAGGATCAAATTTCTGATTTAGCTGCAAGCATAGACAACTAAAATGGTGAGCTATCGCATATATTAATGAATGAAGTTCCTAATGGACCATCATACCGTTCTCAACAGTGAAACCTCCATGATGGCCTGCTGATAAAACGCGGGCTGGTTTTTTATAACCTTCACAGCAACATACTTGTTGGTTTCTGTGTCCCAGCATTTCACAACTTGGCCAAACGTGCCTTGGCCAAGCATTTCCTTGACAATGAACCTGAGTACCAAAATGAGAAAGAGGTAAAGTTCAATGATATGCTAGTCATGCTCAGCCGCAGCTTTCCAGACTCTCGGAAAAAGAAATGCTGAGACAGCCAACGCCGATTTATTAACAGAACTTCCGGGCGTGACATCAAAATTGGAAGCGCCGGTTCATCTAACTTAAATGCATATGAACAAGTATAATCTTCAATTACTTGTCAACAAAAATGCCGTAGCAAATTTCAAGATGAACATACTTGTTTATTGATCACTGATCAGGATGCATAAAGCCTATTTCATATAATTGATTCTGGAAGAGTAATACCACCCGCTATAATAGTCTACAAATTTATAAAGTAAAAGTGCACAGTGCACTAAAAAAATGGACAGGTAGATGAAACAAAGCTAATGGGGAAAAATTACCTCCGATTTGATGTCTTGTTAACCAACTCCAGGTTGACATACAATATGAGGTCCCAATTTGCATTGTCAACTCCATCATTGTGGGCTGGGGTCGAAGGATGGGTGAGAAAGCGCTTTGGGTTTAGTGTCTCTGAGTACTTAAACTCAGGGTGGCATCTTTCAAAAGTGTTAATGATGTCCGCCGTTAGCCTCGCAACGCACTACACGATAAGAAGTGTCAGCTGGCCGCTGAACGACAAAAGCATATGGAAGAAGAGTTGTAACAAATAAGTGAGACAGCATCTCCATGTCTCGATATGGTAATACGAATCGTTTATAGCGCATACAAACAAACTAGTGAGAATATTTGCCCATAAATGTTGCTTAAAAGTGCATGGATGATGTCTTGTTCAAATGCGCGTCAAACTTGGAGAAGTTTACCTACAACATTGCTTAGCTGAACCCCGCAAAAAAAACATTGCTTAGCTGAACAGTGAGCACGATTAGGACTTAGGGGAATGCTGAAGTGGCTACAAATGAGTAGTGTACCTCAGAACATTCTTACTAGCTATGGGTACAATAGACGACGCTACAAACTTGACAGGCAAACAGCGACACTATCTTCTATGAAACTCCAGCACTCTAATCCTGCTAGTTCATACAGACGAAACTAAAGAGCAGTTGACTAAACATGCTAGCAAGGAGCAACAGTGGTAATGGACTAGTGCTACGATGACCAGTTAAAAGCTACATCAGCATGGTAAGCTGAATTCAGCAACATCGAAGAGCTAACTCCTATGGCGACAGCAATTCGACGATCCGGAAGGAACAGATAGAGCAGAAGGAGGAGAATGAGGCGTACCGGTTTCCTCTTGACCCCATGAAGCTTGCTTATGCGTGCGGCAACGCCACTGCCCGACCCCGACGGCGACGGCTCAGCCGCCCCTGCCCCTGCGGCCGCGACGAAGGGCCGGAACACCGTGCCCTCGCTGGGCGCCCACGTCGGCGCCCCGCCCTTCCCCTGCCTGCCGCTCCCCTCCATACGCACGCGCGCGCGCTGACCGGCTAGCCTACTCCGAGGCCGCGCGGGGAGATCTCGCCCTCGCGGCCGACGTCCACCGCCACGCGCCCCCGACTCCGAGCCCGGCCCGAGTAGCGGCGACGATCACAGCATCCGCGGGAGCAGCCGAGCAGCCGCCGGAGGAGTCCAGCTCCATCCTAGGCTGCGTCAGCGGCGGCCATCCCCCCGGTCCCCCGGACGGGCAGTAATCCCGTGCTCCGGCAGCGGAATTGGGATCGGATTGGGATTCCGGGGGCGACCGACGGATTGGGCTCGGCAGGGTAGGGTTTTGTCCCGTTTGTTTAATTAATTACTGCAACAACGGCGGATGAAACGAAACAGAAATCGCGGGATGAAGAGAGCAGTGGGTGGGAGGAGGGAGGAAGAGGGTGGACTGGCTCCGGATTTTGGATCCCCGATTCGGCGCCCCGGAAACTAGGGATTCCGCTCGGAGGGAGGAAGGGAGGAAGGGGGGTGGCGAGCGAGCTGGCCCGACGGGGGGTGGATGGATTCCCTTCCGAAATTTCTTCTTCCTTCCCCGCTCGTGTTCCTCCGCCTCGGCTATTTTCCTTGGCTTTTCTTTTCTTTTCTTCTGCCCCCTGTTTTGTTTTGTTTTTGTTTTGTTTCCCGTGTGGAGAGAGGATATTGTGGGCGGGCGATGGTGATTAGGTGTTTGATTATCGACTACTACTCGTAGTTTATGGGAAGATAAGCACCAACCAACCTTCCCTTTTTTGTTACTCTCCTACGTACTACTCTTGCTTGCTTATTCTATCCTGCTAGCTGACTGCGCTGGCCGTTGTTTTACATGCAGTAACCTCGTTGTGGGTGTGTCTGCGAGTGGGCCTTACGTGTCATTGGTTAGCACGGGGGAGACGCGCGCGATGTATCCAACGGCGGGCGCGTGGTTGACAACGAAGGGGTGGATGCGTTGCCTGCCTGCCTGCTGGCCCCGCGCGTCACGACGTAGGGGCCGCGTGGTGTGCCCGTGGAGCCCGCGTGTCATTGGCGTGCGAGGTAGGCCTGCCTGTCCCGTCGTGGATTCTGCCGATAAAACTGTCCAGGTGACATCGTGCATTGTCCCGTGAACCCGGTCCAGGTGGCTCGTGGCATGCACATGCACCGTTTGTCCTTTTCCTCCCCTTTGGTTAGTTACAAGAAGGCGTAGACGAGATGGTGAGCGCCGCCGCCGTACCCATACGTCCACTCGACTGTGTTCAAAGTTGAATCAGTCAAACCCTTTTTTCGAAAATGATACAGATTTATTACTATCAAAGTTCATCGAAAGTACATGCACCTCAAACATAATAAAAATTACATCGAGATTCTGAGACCACCAAACGACTACTACCACCATCAGAATGACACGGCACTGTCACCGCTCCCATATCGGAGCCGGCTTGACCTTGTCGATGACAGCCAGGAAGTCTTCATGCACGTGCCCCTAAGGACCAACGCCCTAGAGTCGCAATCGTTGTTGAACCCCTATAGAACTGAAACACTTGACACCAAATCTCGTCAAATCTCGGCTTGACCTTTGGGTAGGCTTTGGTTCGCTTTGTTGGGCGTTATGGACGACTAGGAACAAGTTCATTATTGAACACTTTTTCTTAACAAACCTGATGATTTCTTGTACAAAATATTTATCTTTTTGCAACAGTGAAGATTATTGGCTAAGATTGCCGATCTGGATGCGCCACTGGCGGAGCCAGGGGTATTCCTTGGCATTCCATGGAATACCAAAGATTTTGGCATAGAAAAAAATTTAGATATACATATACAGTCACAAGTTGAATTGAAGCCCACCGTTCAACGGTTCAGTCAGGTCCAGCACACGCACGCAGCAGTCGAGGCCTCAATAGTCTAGGTCCAGTACGCATCTCACACAGTTCCTATTCTCCCCTGCTCTTGACCTAGCTGTTGCGTTGGACGGCACCTGCAGGCAAGTGCTGGTGGTGGCGCGGAGGCAAGCAAGTCCGGCGCCGGTCCCAGCCTCCCAAGTACCTGCCCTCCGCAACTCTAGGTTGCTCGCGCTCGCCGCTTGGCTGCTTTGATCGTGCACCTCTGATTTAGAACGAACCACAAAATCAATGTGCGAAGATGTTTGTCATATGATCATCAAAAATGCTAGGCCTAGTTTAAAAGAAGGGATGCAGTCTTGGTTAGATTACTTGTAAACTATCAATGTTTGACTCTTTTGTACAGCCACTTGTTGGGTAACGTAGTAATAATTCAAAAAAATTCCTACTTGTCACCAATATCAATCTAGGAGATGCTAGCAACGAGAGAGAGAGAGAGAGAGTGCATCTTCATACCCTTGAAGATCGCTAAGCGAAAGCATTGCAAGGAACGCGGATAATGGAGTCGTACTCGCGGCGATTCAAATCGCGGAAGATCCGATCTAGCGCCGAACGGACGGTGCCTCCACATCCAACACATGTACAGCCCGAGGACGTCTCCTCCTTCTTGATCTAGCAAGGGGAGAGGAGAAGTTGAGGGAGAACTCCGGCAGCACGACGGCGTAGTGGTGGAGCTCGTGGTTCTCCGGGAGAGCTTCACCAAGCTCAACGGAGGAGGAGGAGGTGTAGGAGGGGGGAGGGTTGCGTCAGGGGCTGAGGTGCGGCTGCCCTCCCACCCTCCCTCTATTTACAGGGTGAAGGGGAGAGGGGCCGGCCCCCTTAGATGCATCTAGAGGGGGGGCGGCGGCCAAGGGGGTTGCTTGCCCCACAAGTTGGGCGGGGCGCCCCCACCCCTAGGGTTTTAACCACTACAAAAAAAAGACACATCCGTGACATTTTTGGCCGAACGAAAAAAATTCTGTCATACATATGACACTTCTATGACGATAATTGTGACAAAACCCGGTATCATCATAGATGTGGTGGGCTCCTACTTCTATGACAAAAAATCATGATAGAAAATGGCTTTTCGTCCTGGGCGGGTCGGAGACGCAGCTGCATGACATTCTTTGGGTCGTCCATGACGGAAAAAACCGTGGTAGAAGCGAGGGCGAGGAAAATTTCGGGGAGTTCTCGGTTACGGTGGGTGGTCGGGGCCGAGCGATGCGCGTTTCTCTCGCACACGTACGCGCGTGTGTGCGAGGCGTTGGCTCTAACTGAACCCGAGCGAGGCGTTGGGCTCTAACTGAACCCGAGCGATTGCACTACAGGCTACGCATTACTAAACCCGAGCGATCGATCGATGACTGTTAACTGACACTACAAGAAATATGTCAACTTATGACCTTATGTCAGTGAACCTCAAAGAATTGGTCATAAATCTATGACCATTTCAGACCAATTGGTCAAAAGTTGTTCGAGGGGCTCCAAACCCTAAGCCATTGCGACCATTTTGGTCAGAAAGGTCGTAATTTCCTTACATGAAAAGGTCATAAAGCAAACAACGCTAGTCCGCTGCCTTATTTCTAGTTGTTAACGACCAATATAGATGGTCATAGCCTTGTAAATTGTGGTGGGTTGCGATGACTAGGCGCCATCTCATCAGTTTTGCCTATGTGTCATGTCCATGTGGCAGTTTTTGCCCTAGGTTGTGAAGCAACCTATATTTCTGTCATGGCCAAAACTTCCAAACAAATCTCATAAATTCTTTGGGTCATATCTGAGAACACTTTTTAAAAATAATTGCCATATTACAAGTTTGTTATTTTTCCTGGGAACTTGGTCACATATAATGACACAATGCGAAGATTTTCCAATTTTTTGATTTTTTTTGAATTTTTTATACCTGTCTCAAAATGCGGTCAAAACGGCGGGCTTGACCATTCCTAGCTAGTGGTTGAATCTTGAAATTTTTTTGGTGTTTCTCTGATTAAATAGATACTTATGTACCTAGAAATGATTTTTGGAAAAAATAAGTAGCAAACCATGAGGCAGCTCCAGTTCAAATTTGACCCGCTTCCTACTGAATCGGCGGAAATTTGTCTTTTTCACGAGAGGTGGATCAAAAATTTTTACACCCAACCATTTTGTCAATTGTGCATTAAATATGGCCTAGTATTTTATAAAAATGATTTGGTCCAATTTTGCAACAATTATTTGGTAGTTCCTTCACAAAAAAACCTTCTTTCGGGCACTCGAAAAATGGAAAATGGTTTTTTCGTCCAAAGAAAATGAAAACTTCCTTAGGCAACATTGTTTGCCATTCCAATATGCACTCTTGTGCACAATATGAGATCATTTGAACAAACTATGCCATGAATATGGCCATAAGATTGATCATTTGGCTTGAAAGCCATTGATCTCCACACATGATAGCTCGTTTCTGAGAACACTTTTTTAAAATAATTGCCGTATTACAAGTTTATTATTTTTCCTAGGAACCTGGCCACATATGATGACACAATGTGAAGGTTTCCCAATTTTTTAATTTTTTTTGAATTTTTTATGCCTGTTTCAAAATGCGGTCAAAACGGCGGGAATGACCGTTCCTAGCTAGTGGTTGAATCTTGGAATTTTTTTGGTGTTTCTCTGATTAAATAGATACTTATGTACCTAGAAATGATTTTTGGAAAAAATAAATAGCAAACTATGAGGCAGCTCCAGTTCAAATTTGACCCGCTTCCAACTGAATCGGCGGAAATTTGTCTTTTTCACGAGAGGTGGATCAAAAAAATTTACACCCAACCATTTTGTCAATTGTGCATTAAATATGGCCTAGTATTTTATAAAAATGATTTGGTCTAATTTTGCAACAATTATTTGGTAGTTCCTTCACAAAAAAACCTCCTTTCGGGCACTCGAAAAATGGAAAATGGTTTTTTCGTCCAAAGAAAATGAAAACTTCCTTGGGCAACATTGTTTGCCATTCCAAGATGCATCCTCGTAGATGTATAATCACACAATGCGAAGGTTTTTCATTTCTTTTTGTGAATTTCCTATGCCGATTTCAAAATGTGATCAAATTTGCCCGCATGACCCTTCTTAGTTAGGTGGTTAATAATGCAAAACTATTGGTTTGTCTAT